GGGAAAGAGCAGTTGATGGACCAAATGGACACACACCCATCAGGAAGGAGAAGGTGACTGAGCAATGGTGCTGGCTCGGTTATGAGTTGCAGAAGCATTGTGGCACACAGCGACAGGCCCTGCAAACTGTGGCTACGGCCACAAACCAAAGGACAGTCTTCAAATGTATAGAGTTTGGAAAGGATCACTACTACGTATCATTGACTTTAGGCATACCCATACCCTGGAGAGCAGCACAACTGATACTGTTGTCTACTAATTAAAGGCTAATGATGACAGCTGTTTGATAATACCTGCAAGTGGAGGTGGTCCACTTTCCAATTAATGAAAGTAACTGTTCACTAGAAATGTATTAAAAATGGAAAAGACTATTTTAACAATTTTAAAAACACCTGTTAGTTCTAATAGAAAAAGTTTTTTTTTTTTTTTTTTTTTAAGTGTAGAATGGGCTCTTATTGTCCCAGTGATTCTAAGGAGTCACTATGCTTTGTTAAGATTCCCATCTGCTTTTAAAGTATTAGTATCACTCCAGAACAGTAAGTTTGCTGTTGAGATTCCTAACATAGCATCAGAGATAAAGTTTGATTTTTGAACACAAAACAAAATAATGAATTTGTTCCAGAGGTCAATACTAGGAAATAAACATGTTCCTTACCTTGGAGAAAGAAAAAAAATGAATTCTAAAAGCTTTTTATAGAGAAGAGTTGAAAAACAATGCAAGTCCTTTAAGATAATTATGAGCTTGGGAAGGAGAATGTTGTATTTATAACTAAAGACTAAATGTTTATAAAAAAATAAAAGAACTGTTTGATTAAAAAAAGTATTTATCTCTGATCTCACTAAGTTTTCCTGACAATTATTGAATTAAATAAGAGAAGATACAAAAGAGTGCTTTGATTTGGAATCTTTGAAATCTGAGTAAGACAGTTCATGAAGAGAAACATGTGGAGATCAGGTGGACAATAGGCATTCAATAAATATTTGCTGAATGAAGACACCGAAATACCCTAGACCAGCGGTTCTCAACCTGTGGGTCACGACCCACAGGAACTGTATTAAAGGGCTGAAGCATTAGGAAGGTTAAGAACTACTGCCGTAGATGCAATTCAAGAGTGACATACAGACTGGGACCTCAGAAGACCATGGTCCATTCTGAATGGAAACTAACAAGTAGAGTCAAAGGAAAATGGGTCTTCCCCAAATCCTGGCTTTCTAGGGTGCTCCAGGTTCTGCTGACCGTGAAGGACCACTAATCTAGGACTACCTCCACTTTCCTGTCTTCGACGAGGAGAACAAGTGACCTCTCAGAAGAGGCTAAAAAGAAAAACCCTGCCATTGGTTAATGTAATCATATCTTCCTTTGACCAGGTCACCAGGAGGTGTTAATCCCCTCCACTCCCACTCCAATGCTTCATTACGGTGGATAGAGGACATGAGGACACAGAAGTTGTCCCTGCCTGGTTAGTCCTTGGGGATGGGGCAGAAAGTACACTGCCCTGGCATGAGGCCTGTGATACAGTATTCAAGGGTTCATGTACCACCATGAAACAATTCAAGTCTAGGTGCTATTGTCAGATAAGCTGCACATGAGACAGCCATCAGGAATAGGGGGAACATGTCCCAGCACGCTGAACTTGGCTACCAGAGGACTCCATTAAGACCATGCTATGGTGTTTCACCCAGACAACAAGATTCTCTACTAAGAGGGGAAGGTTGGAAAACGTGCAAGAAAGATGTGCAATTTTATGGATATAATATGGTTTTGTAGAGAAGATATAGTTTTGATCAGGTTATGTAACTAGTAGTCTTTGTGAGTTCCTAGATGTTAGATATGTAGGTAAGTTTGAGTTCTAAAAGAACAGGACAATAAACATTCCCTACCAAGTGACCTACAGCTATCACAAATTCTGAGGTAAAGAGAAGAGAGAAAAACCAATCAAATTTAGGGTCTTTCTTGAGGACTATGTTCTGGTAAATAGATTTCCACACAAATATCATCAGAATAATGAATACATCAAAAACATTTAAGACTGCTACATGTACAAACTGTATTATAATTAAAACAATGGCCTAGGTGATGTTTCAAAGTGTCTAGTCTTAAAGAGCTCTGTTATCATTCGGTTTTAAAAGAGTTAGCCACTAATAGTCTGTGTGAGTCTTATTGAGAATACAAAGGGGACGTAATGAGCTATGTCTATGATTCTGTGGCCAGATCCACCCAGTAAAATTAACCAGAAACTTAAGCAACTTAAGTTCAAGGAAATAAACCAAAGCACCTTGGGCTCAATTATCAATTGGACATTGCTTTTGATTCCAATATTATGCTTAATTTCTGTAATACACGGATTTGTTGTGTATAAAAGGCCTGACAACTAAATTTGTAAACTCATCCTGGTAAAAGTGCTACATACCTCATTGTTGAATATCAGTATGGTCACTTTCAAAGTACTCTTCTTGAGAAGCTATCAACCGATGCCAGTGCCTAGTCTCCCTTTCAAAGCCATTTGGGAACTCTTTTTCTGGAATGACTATCAGAGCTGTCATCCTGTGAGGGATGACAATTAAGTTTGTGAACTTGCACTGTGTGCTTACATTGCCAGCACTGCACAAACAACTCAGTAAGGTTTCGCAACATTGGTATATCAGTGTCTCACAACTATGTTCGTGTCAATGGTAGGCTGTTCCTTGCTGAGTGGTGTTTGTTATTGTTGTATGTTTTTTGGTGTGCCATACAAAAACGGCTCTAATGATCACTCCAGAAAAAGAGTTCTCAGATTGCTTTAAAAGGTGAACTCAGTGCTGGCAATGGTGCATAGCTTCCCAAAGGGAGTTCTTTGGAGGTGACTGTAGTGCTATTCAACAATGAGGTATGTAGCATTTTTTCCAGGATGAGTTTACCAACCGAATTTTTGGGTCTGTAAAGACAAATGCTGTCTTCAATTTGTAAATCCCAAAGGCAAGATGAAACCCATATCATTGTAATTTGAAGAGAACTGATTTTTAAGTACTGATGATATTATTTCATTTTATCAAAAACAATGATAAATTTTAAAGTAAGACTGACAGGACTCTAGTTATACATTAATCTTTACATAGATTCACAACAATGATATTGAACCAATACTTAATACAGTTAAGAGTTAAATTCAGGTGAAAAAAAGAATGCTTAGTAAAACCTTGCTTGTAATCACTAAGGCGGGGGGGGGGCACATATTACTTGATGGATTAAACTGCTTGGGGTGAGAAGTTGGTATTCTCCCAACTTTATAAAGTTATTGAAAGATTAAGTCTCTCCCATGAAGGATGCAGACTTTCAAGAGAAACATGTGAAAATTCATATAAAATATTTTACTTCTGAAATCCAAGACACTCACAAGGACAAAGCTTCCTGAATCTTTGGGGAAGCTAAATGGGACACCTGTTTATTTGGCCACAAAAAAAAAAGGAATGTCTTTATCTAATATGACTGGTATTTAACGATTTATAAAATTACTTTAGTTCAAATTTTAGCTGAAAGGCAAGAGTGAGATGAACAGACCTAATGAATAAAATCTTCCACTCACCCATTCACCTTTCCACTGTAAAAAAAATAATAACTAACTTCTTCACACTGAGCTAGGTCAGTGCACTTAGTAACATAAATAGAGAATATAGTTTAACAGTGTCAATTGTTCTAGTCAGACCAAAAGGAAAAAGTCTGCAGAGGTGACTAGCAATTTGGGGTCTATGTCCATTTTTATTCCTAAATTGTCCATATGTCTCCTTGACCTGAGAATTTCCAGGTTCTTTATATCAAGAATGCAGTTTTTCAAGAGTATATCTTATTTATGCTACCTATAGAATTAAAGCTCATGACGATACTATTAGGTAGGTAATCTTTCCAGATTATGGATCATTTTTTCCAATTTACTTTATATTTCTTTTCCTTTAATATTTCTGTTTTAAATATCTTTATGGTTACCATTCTTTGTTGAAATATCTTCTAGACAATGGGCCTAGAGAAAGTGTAGCTATATACTGAGTTAGACACACAAGAATACAGAACTGCCAATGCAATTGATACAACAGTGACATTTCTAAACCAGTCACGTGGCCAAAAGGAAGAAAGCTAATGGCTCAAGTGTCTTTAGTATGTATGTACCGGTGTGCTGAGACGTCATTACAGATGCCACCCAGGACTCTTATGTGTTAACAGCTAAAACAACTTTGCCAACTAAAGTGAGTGAAGGTCTAGAACACATTAGGGAAATTGCACGCAAACCTAGGATAAAAAAGCTGCTAAATACAGAATTCTACTGATACTCAGGTAAGGCCAGTGAAAGTTTAAAAAATACTATTTTTAGGGTAGTGCCCATAGCTCAGTGGGTAGGGTGCTGGCCACATACACCTAGGCTGGCAGGTTCAAACCCAGCCCAGGCTTGCTAAACAACAATGACAACTGCAACAACAACAACAAAATAGCCAGGCATTGTGGCAGGCACTTGTAGTCCCAGCTATTTGGGAGGCTGAGGTAAGAGAACAGCTTAAGCCCAGGAGTTTGAGGTTGCTGTGAGCTGTGATGCCACAGCACTCTGCTGAGGGCAACATAGTGAGACTCTGTCTCAAAAAATAAAAAAATGCTGTTTCTATATGTTATCCTTGAATTTGAATTGTTTTTTAGTCAGGCTTTTATGAACGTACCCAATATTTAAATGTTTTATATTCTTTTTTGATTGATGTACTTAAAATTTGTTGTTGTGTTCCTAAACTGTCATTACTAGTTGTCATCACCACAAATATACCACATGTTGGCTATAGTTTAAATGGCATAAAAAAAGATGTGAAGAAGTTGACAAAATTAATAGATATTATTGAAATAATTACGTACTTATAATAAGGAAATTATTTTTACTTTTTAGGATAGGCCTACTTCCTAACTCTATTATTTATTTGAGACAAATAAATATATTTTTCATATGTATGGAGCTTGGAGTTAGGATTTTCCATATCTTAAATCATACCTTTCACATCTTCATCCTCAATCGTTGTATTTGAACTCTCGGTTGACTCCTATTAAGAAGAAAACATATTTTTAAGTTGTATACAATGACTTAGCATGATGTCTTCTTCAAAAATTGGCTAGTGATATACATATCATGCAAAACTCTTCAGCAGGCTGTGTGCATATGCTGACATGCAAACGGACAAATACTTTAAGTGATTTTTAACAGAAATGAAATGTCAAATGCTGCACACATTTCATGAAGGGAGCACTCTGGTTGCCTAATCTGTGAAGCTGTACAAATCTAGGTGATTTGTCAAAGCAGTGGAAGTATGCAGTTTATTTTAAGAACTGTGTAAGAATGTGTTGGTATTACAGTGCCCCAAAAGGTATGTGTATTTATGAGTAATTGAATACATTAGTCAAATGAATCCAAATCTTAATATAGGACAATTTTATTCCCAATTAATTAATCAACAAATAGTACCTTGTTTGTGTCAGGTACAATGTCAAGCACTGAATTTGAACCTGCCTACTCCTTTTAAGGGAGAGAAAGCATTTCAATGTGTCATTTGATGAATAAACTAAAGCTATCAAGCTGAGATATGCGGAAAGTACTTTTAGGAAGAATTTTCCTTTTGTCATCAGCACAATTAATTAAATAATAAAGAATAATTGACTTTCAAGAACTACTCAGTTTTTTTCCATTCTTTTCTAAATTAGAAATTGGCTGCCACTGATTAGAAACCTGCCTCCACAAGGAAAAATCAAAGGTTTTTTTTGGTAAAACTACAAATGAATTTGAAGATAAGTAAGCACATGTAAATGTACTCTTTAACTGCTGGTATTAACATATACTTCTCAAAATGATCTGATAAATATTGAATCATGTACTAAAAAAATATTTTCTAGCACAGAAATTTTACAATATTCACAAGAAAGACACAATTTTCTATTTGGGATGATTAAAGGCTAGAGCCTTCCCCAAGAAATTGGAAGCAAACTTCAATAGCTATATGCTCAGAAACAAACAAACAAAAAAAACTCCCAGATTTTGAAAAATAATGCTAACACTAGTCAGTGTCTTTTTAGAGATTCTGTATTCAAAAAAGTGATCGATTTATGTAAATATCATATACAATATTTAAACCAAAGGGCAATTTAATTCAAGATGTATCCAGAGTCTCCATACACACGAAACCAAAGAAAAGAGTCTTCATGAGTTTCTTAACGTGACCTAGTATTCAAATTGAAGCTCAAAATGAAGGTCAATCCATGCACTATAAAAATTAACTAATTTATGTCAGTGAGAAAGACCATGCAGCAACTTTACACATGATATATATAGTTAGGACTGTTGATGTCTCCACTCTAGCAGCTGTACCTGGTCTTACATTTGCTAGCACTATGGAACAATTGTTCTTACATGGGATGGTCCTGACTGCCTCAAGTCTTAGGCATCTAGAACAGTCTTGGTGTCATGACTATAAAATATATCTCATATATAAAAACACTTCATTTTTTTTACTTCAATGATTTTAATATCATTGACTGAAAGTTCAACCAGATAGGAAGTGTGTTTTCTAAGTCTTAAGTATTGTTGAAAAGAATATAGATGACTATCCTTAATGTTTGAAAAAGGCATAGTGCAGTATTTTTTTCTCCTCTTAGAGATAAAATAAAGTATGGAAAGTAATACACTGGGAACATGGAATACATTCAGAAAATATCCCCTTTTACTATAGATGTATATGTGAGAGCTGTGATTCAGTTAACATGCTGTGTAATTTACGATGTACAGGGCTCGTTGGTCTTCCTTCAATGTAAGTGATTAAATGTCTCTTACTGAAATGTATATAACTCAACAACAAACATATCTCACAAGAAGTAATACTCCCTGGTTCTCCTCAGATTCATGCCAAACAACAGCAACAACAACATCATCATCATAACAGGGAATAAAAACAAACAAACAAGAAACCACTCTGACAACAGAACAGAATGAAACTCAAAAGTAACATTAAATTAAAAAAAAAAAAAAAAAAAGAAAACCCCAAATCCATGGAACTCAAGATGGTATTTTGAAGACAATGGAGTGATATAGCAAGAAATTCTAAAATTTCATGCAGAATACAACTACAGTACAAAGCACAAACAGTCTGGGGAAAAATACAACAAGACCAGATGGAATTGCTTAAGATACACAGTCATCTTGATATAAAGACGTCATAAATGTTTAGCCTGACTTTTACTAATTAATAGTAATATTCATTTCTCTTTCAACATGTCATTCATTTTTATATGAATGAAGTATGGGTATAGCTCTAGACAAATTAGGTCCAAAAGAAAGTGTGGTCGAGAAAGAGTAATGATTTTCTTTGCTATTTTTCGATAACAAATTAATTTTGCTTTGACTATTTGACGAGATGTGTATTCTTGTTAAAGCAAGATGATGTTGATTCTTTCTGAATACCTTGTTTCCATCAGGGTTGTGGATTACAGTAGTTTGGGGCTCCTGAGTGAGAACAAAATAGAGAAAGAAACAGTTCGCATTGGTAAGTACATTCTTTCTAGAGTGAAGGACAGAGCAGAATGGGCCAGCTGACAAAACTAAATAGTGACAAGAGCTAAAGCAACGTTAACTGCTGTCAGAGGTTGCAGCTGACAAAGTCTCTGATGAAAGATCTCCCTCTCCAGCCCATGAGATAGGACCCCTTCCCTAGCCAGAAGCAGCATGCACAAGACCTTATTCTTGATCAGCACACAGACAAGGCTTTGAAGCATGGAGACCTGAAGAGGCACTCACTGTTTCACTAAGTCCTATGCCAGCTAGAGCTTTCCCTTCTTCTGTGATGAGCAGCTTGCTAATGTCTTACCTACAGAAAACTGACCAAGGACACTGGAGATAAAATTCTTTGAGATGATCTCAAATTCTTTGGGAAGATACTTTTCAGATTGATTGATCATGGTGTCATTATAATTAAAACACACCTGAATGCTCTTGGAAATCTAGGACCGTTGGGCCACACTTTAAAAACAAACAACTCTTGTAATGCATTTATTTCAGAGGTCCATGAGAAATTCTAAGGCACCTTTAGAGGGTTCGAGAACTAATCACATAATCACTATAGCCTGAGGCATGTAGTTGTTAAATCCTGTGTTAATTCATACCTAAAAGACAATTTCTGCTTTACAGAATAATTGGCTGTAAAGTCATGCTTTTCCATGAAGAAAGTATCATTTTCCTTATTACTTTCTATCAGAAAATAAAATAAACAAATAAATAAAAAACTCCCAAGTGGAAAACAACTAATGTAAAAAAAAGATTCAGCACGCCTACATCAACGGCATGCTGGGTACTTTGATTACATGATGTCTTGGCAACAAGGAGTTACTGCAACCCACTGGGAGTTCTCAGCCATAGCCACTCCCCCAACACCGTAGTAGTAGTATACCGGTAATACTGAGGGAACAGTGTCCACCACTGCCCTTCCTCCTTTCCCTGGCTATAGCTGTGATCAACATTGTTTTTACTAGCAGACATCTACTATCTTGATGTGTCCTTCCTTTAAGTGTTTTTAAATGAAGCCTTCTGGTTGACCATAGTGAAATAATCTCCTCTCATTTTTTTAACCATTTAAAATAACAGTAAGAACAGAAAATAACTGGAAACATTTCTGAAATAGAAAGAGTTTGGGGAAACATAGAACTCCGAGCGTGGAATGCCAGTATTCTGAATTTTAACATAACACCATCTCAAAGTAGCAACACCGATTTAGTTGTTCAGTGGGTGGATTTGATTGTAATGGACAAAACTGGTTTCCACCGATAATTCAAATTCCTATGCTATGAATTTCATGTTTGGATTAAAGTGAAACAGTAAAAATTTAATTGAAGATACAACAAACAAAAGCGTTAAATTATCCAGTGCCTCTTTATCTCAGAAAGTGAGGTCTTACAAAGCCCTGTTGTTTTTTCATAAGAAGGAAACAGGAAGTCTGAATAAGGTCTACTTTTATGCTATCCAGCAATAACCTCATTAGCTCTCCTTGATGTCAGCATTTACATCATGAAAGGAAGAAACTTTTGTTTGCATAATCTAGAACTATCATCAGAAGAAGAGCTAAGAGTGACCAAAGCACATTCTACGGCATTTCTAAGGCAGCATGCAACAATTTCAACTACAGAGACCACAGCTCTGGGTACAATGTTCAACGATGAAATGAGAAAATCTCATGTTAGAAACACACTGCTTGACAGCTATCTTAACAAAAGGAAAAATAAATGAACTTTTGTCATATCTTAGAAAGCAAAAATAAAAACAAACCCAACAAAATAAAATATTTATATATATGGATTTATAAAGTGAAAGCAAATGAGAGAAACAACAAAAAACAGTAAAGAACTTAAGAAGGGTTACAAAGAGTCCAGGTATACCAGCGCCGGGGTAGGAATATTTTCTTTGGGGCTGGTTACCACGTTGGCTTTGTTGTTTATCTGTAGGTATGCAGAAAATAGAAACAGAGATGCCATAAACCCCTTGGTAGCCAATGTCACTATATGCAGCATGTTGACATAGAGATATAGACATGAAAATAAGAGTCACTGAAGATGAACATGAAAGACATTGATGACTGACAGGAAGTGATGATCACGTCTAGTCTCTGATGGTCACACTCAGGCTAGGACCGTGTCTATGGTGGTGGAATGATAAGACAGACTCCTCTGCTCTGGCTGGGCCACCTCAGTGAACAGACACACTGCTGTTCCAGCAGAGCTCAAACCAAGCTTTAGGGAATGAAATGAACATATCCCTTTTCGTGCTCTTCAAGTCGAATTCTCCTTCCAGGCTTCCAAACTGTTCACTGGTATGAATACATTCCTTTTGGTTTTTTTCATGTTTTTCTTGAGCCTGAAGTCACACACAGACCATCTCTCTCTGGGGAGTCATCATTACCATGTTTAGTAGGTATCCAATTACAAACTTAGATCTTCTGATGAGATGGAGGATGTTATGATATTTTTAAAAAATGTTAAATCTAGGTCTTCTTCAAAAATTACACCTTGAATTACAAATGAGGAAATCAAACTCTATGCTGAATGGAAAAAGACTTTTTAAAGTAATTGTATGAGAGAAAAATACCATGTTTTCTGCCCAAGTGCTATTTCTATCATGGAGGAATATACAAAAAAATACAAGTAAATAGCACATGAACTTTATGGCCACCCTGTATTGGGTAATACCATTCCTTTGCTTGAACATTATTAGATTTGACCTTCAAGTAGATATCATTACCACTGTGGAGGCCATAATGTGAAAGCAACACAGAAGGTCAATCAGTACTGTCATGGCCCACAGGGAAGATTCTTTGTAGTCAAGTAGCAACTTGAAACTACATTTGAGTTTGGGCACTAAAGAATTAAAGACTAAAAAGTAATAATTAACAAACAATCTTTTAAACTCATGCACGATAACTTACTTTATGGTTATCAAACAGAAATATAAATTAACATTCATTTTTTTGCACTTTATCATCTAGGTATTTTCTTTATATATTATTTTCTAAAGGAATACACCCTCAAAATTTTAATATAAATGAGGTCTTAATGAGAAAGATATACTATATAAAATAAATAAACACTAAATGAGTATTTGTAAGTGACGACACCAGTTTAATTTTGTATTAGAAGTCTACACTTCACACCTGCTTATCTCACTGAAACTAGCACTAAGAAGATGTAGGTATGCAATATTTTCCTTTTCTATTCCTTCACATTTCTATGACTATTGTATTAGTATTATTTAAATAAATTGTAACCCTGTTCTCTGTGACAGGTAGAAAGAGAGATAAAACTTTAAATTTTACCAGAAAACTCTTTAAATGTTAAATCATCCATCTATATTTGGCAAATAGTGAAACATTAAATCAAAGTGCAGGGAATTTAACATATCATTTGTGCAAGAGCCAAAAAGTGATCCGAGGTGATGGCGTTCATTAAAGAGAGATCAAAATTCGGTTTTTATGTTAGTAGAGGATACGTGAGGAAAGGGGAGAGTACACACACAAATAGTTTCTTATTCAGGAGCATGCTGGGCAAAAAAACCAAAGCTGGTTTCCTGTCAACTCATCAGTGGCACTCATGATTAAAGTTCCACATGTATGTAATACATACACTTGGTTTAGTTTACATCAGTGAATGCAAATGAAAGAGAAATATTCCGAGATGCTTTCAGTTCTGTTTTGAGATAGGATACTTGATTTTTTTCTCTAGGGTGTGGTTGCCAAGAACTGCTTTATTTCAACGAAAATGTCCCACATGCACATCTCTGCACACAAACTTGTCTGCACAAGTGCACACATGTCCTCTCTCCCACACGCTGCTCCACCCATTCACACATTCATACATGGCATACACACACCGTATTCTCCTCCTAATGAAAGCCCTCCCTTACTGACAGGTATGGGAAACGTGAGTTACATGTCTCTGTGCCTCAACCACCACCTGCAGTCATATTGAAATGTGCAGTTGCAACTTTTTCATTAAGGTAGAAATTAAATTAGTGATCATTTTTTACTATGGGAAATCTTTTGGAGGTATGTGTAATATTAATTAACTGAAAAATAATAAAAGAATTTCTAAGTAACAGAACAGAAGAACTTCTTTCACAGAATCAAATATCAAGTATGTCTTTTAAACATACAGGAACATTGGCACTTTTGTCTGTGAATGAAATTATTTTATATTTTGTGAGCAGAGTATTTTTCTTTTTCAAAAATGCTGAATTTACATGATGCACTGAATTACTCTTATGAGGTATGGGTAAGATATTTCTATTTCTCAAGTGTTGAATTTATTAAGTTTTGAGGTTAACATTTCCTTTCCAGGCACATAACTAGAATGGGTCACTTGGATGCTCTTTATAAACTCCATGGTGAATGTGTTATAGTGTGTCTGAACTCAGAATCACTCCTATTTTAGCAACGTGAATATTATTTAAAAAATAATAACCATATGATTAAAAAATAATCATATAGTGTTTTGTATACTTATCAGTAAACACAGACATTAATTACGTCATGGTTTTCAAATTTATTTTCAAAGAGAAAATTAGACTTTGTCCTTGTAAAAGATCAAATTAGCTTATAGCATCTGGATGTAAGTTTAACTTTTATATATTTAAACATTTAAATTCAGAGAAAACCAATATAATGTATAAGGGGAGTACTGTGTTTGGATAGTTGATTAACACTGATCTTCGCTTTCTTTATTTCCACTAACTTAGGTAAGTAAGACTGTTTTAGTCCAAAGTGTGAATTTGTACAGGAGGAAAAATCTGTCAGATAGAGGTCCTCACCATCATTTGAACACTCGAACTGGACTTCCTTTTCTGAATTGACCAGTCAAAGAGAAGGAAAAGAAAAAAATATGACCGGTTGAATTTAAAATATCAAAGCATGGAGTACAGAATAATTTTGTCTTTAAAGAGGTGCATAAGATGACTAGAAGAAGAAAAGTTCTGACAATGTTTCTTTCTATATAAGGATAGTCGTGAACATAAATTTCCCAGCAACTCTGAGTTTTCCATCACCAAACAGTACAGGGGGGAAAAAAAGACAGGAGAAGAAAACATTTAGAAAATTAAAATATCACATTTCTACCAATGTAATATAGGGAAAAAAGGCAGACAATAGCTGTCACTATTAAAATCTAAATTGAATAATCCAAGCAGAAGGAAGACACAAGTACCGATTGAGGAAAGCAATTGGGAAACGAAAATGTCATCTTAAGGGGAACCTCAGGTGCACGGTCACCAGCACTCTGGAAATGTCCAAGTTTCACACAGACAGGTGGTAAAGAAATGATGGGACATGAACATTTGAAGGGACATATGATTTTTTTTTATGTTGTATTTTCAATATGAACTGACCACTTGACTCTGGGTCAAGTTCAAATGTTAGAAAACTAATTCCAAAGAATGTTGACGTGTTGATGAGGAATGTATGCTTTCTGCCCTTGGAAGAGAAAGAAAAGGATTAAAGAAATAAAACATTCAGGTGATACTCCGGAAAGATAACAAACATCATTATGCAAATATATGGTTACATTCTGTCAGAAGTAAATCCTCTTGAAGCAAGATGCCATCAGCAGAACATAAATTGCATTATTTTGTTTTGAAATCTAAGCAAGTTACAATATCCTGCTGTAATTTTTCTTGGAAGATTTCTATAATATTTGCTCAGAATATTCACCTTGAATATCTCTCAATACCTTACGATAGAAACAGAAGAGCAATTAAGACCTTCATAAAAAAATGCCCAAGCAGAGAAATTTAGTCATTGGATGTTATATTTCCCATATCCAATGTCCGGTTTTTTAAAGGCTAAGCACTTCAGTGGCCTTTAAAGACATAGCATTAATGATTTGGAAAAACATTTGGTTTTTATGGATTTACAGGTCACCATGGTAGCTTGAGACTCTAGTAAAACAGAGAGGACACAAGACATTCAGTTCTTATAGGAACTCTATATTGCATAAAAGTCTTTTATTCTTCATAATTACTATATAACCAAGTAGAAAAATATATTTCTTGGTATAAATATTAGTCATCTTTGTGTAATAAATTATTTCATATTTCAACCTGCTTTCATTATCAGAAACTATAAAAAAATACAAGTTTCAAGAACTTAAGGCTTCTATTTAACATTTAAAAATCATCAACCATCTGAAAGTCAGACACGGATTCGGAGCACCTGCTTAACTTACCTTCACTCCATCTGGTTTCTTCAACAAACTCTTGGCTGCTGCAAAATGAGAATAAAATCAGCTTAGTGAGTTATTCACAGAAACCCACAGCCAGGTAACCAAACAGTCAGGTCTCCGTCTACCACCTCTGCTGACTTATGGCCAACATATGCCAAGTCATCAAGGTCACACTGATGAGAGCCAGCTTACAGGACATTGAAATGCAGTATCACTTTTCTTGTTTGCCATAACAAATTCACAACTAAATTCTTATGTCGTTTGTTGCATATAATTGAAGAGTTTGCCGGTTGTGTTAATGAGCTTTATTTCACTCTCTTGGTTGCGAAAAGGATACTGGAACTTTAACTGGACTATCCTTTTGTAATCCAGAAAGTTGATTTCAGTCTTGAGACATCAGCTGACAGATCATACTACATGTTCATTCACACCACAAGTATGGTGACCATGTCAGTTCTGCCATTTAAGACCCTCTTTCCAGAGGTTGAAAACTCATTTGTAAAAATTTGCTCTGATTAAGTAGCATCTTTCAAACAGTTTTGAAGTCGGGCAATTTCAGTTTTACAAAGAATATTAATAACTATATTTCAATGAAATGGTACCTTATTGACCTAGAGCAAATTTTTAAAATGCTTAGCACATGACCTTTTGAAAAAAAATGGCAGTATGTATTCTTTTCTACGTCAAAACCAAAATACAAAGGCTTTGTAAACAAAAGCCTTTACATTGAAAAGGTAAAAATCATAAAATTCGAGACGAGATAAAAAACAAAATGAAATCTTCTAATAAATCAGAGCAATCCTAAAGAGTATGGTTTTATAGAACACTTCGTGTTTTTGGTGGGGAGCTTTTATCATTCGTTCTGTTGTTGAACTTCTATAGTGTATTAACTGGTGAAGTTATCCTTTCAAAATACATGCTCATGGATGGGTACAGACACGGGGAACAGATAATATCACTGTCAATGGCAATGAGTACACCAAGGGTTGAATTCCTGAATATGCAGGACAAAGTACACACTTAGGATTCCCTTTAATGTTAACTCTAATTCTTTAAGCATATCACAAAAGAATTTGACATCACAAGTGGAAATACCTAGCTAGAATAGAACTGCATGAACATGTGATTTCCTGACATTCACGCGATTGGGGACATTGTTTTGATATCACTCTGGTAAAATTTTAAATGTATTTAAAAGGTACAACAATGTTAATTTTATTTAGTTTTTTGCAACACAGCTATTAATTGATTATTAATTGAGATGGTAAGAAATAGTTGCCTTAGCCATAGTACTGTTTGCCTGGAGCTAAAAAAGCAACATTAAGTATATTCCGTGGCAGTTAATTGGTTAGAAAGCAAACTCAGAATAATTGGAATTGCAGTAGCAAGCAAAAAGAAGACAATGATTCGGGGGAAGCAGGGATTTGGCCTGAGAGATGCAGAAATATGTCCCTTTTGGTTACTATTCACCTTACCTCACAAGAAATACATTCCACATAAAGGGAGAAAAGAAAAAATACAAACAACTTTATAACCATATACTCATGGACAGATTACTTTAAAGAACATGATTGGCAATGAAATAGAATGAATAAAATACCCAGAACTAAAATGCAATCTCAAGTACAAGGCGTTATAACTGGGTCTACTGTTCCTCAGTTGTCTGAAGTGATGAATTAAAAAAAAAAAGAAAGATCTGTTTGTGATGCTAAGACATTCAGAAATGATATAAAATCCACATATTAGTCATGAGTTTTTAGTTAACAAGATGATGAAAAGGAAAATGGGAGGTAAACAAAAAGCTTCCATATATTAAGTTCATACATTAACAAAGGCCCAATTTATGCCCAAGGTGTATTTATTACTTCAACCAAATTCACAATTTTCATTCTGGAGATTTTTTTTTTTCCAAGTTAGTTATTTTTTATCCAAAGTGTTAGTTTGCCACTAACAATTTATGCTATATAAAATTTATAACAATTTATGCTACCTTTCAGTAATTCACTAATTCCTGGGCCAAAGAGATATATTAGCTTATTTAAATATAGTTTGTATTAGTTAATATTTAGTGTATGGCATTGAATGCAAATGAATGTCAATCATATGTATCAAGTGTTTACAACACAGGTGACATGAAAAAGGCAGCAACAAGGTTTTATTACACCAAACAAATTGGACAAAATACGTACAACTGAGCCACACAGCCCCTCAATTTGCAGCCTTCCTCATTGTACTATTATTATCGTTGCTGTTTAATAACCTTTGCATGGCCTCTCCTGGTTTCACATAATCTGTAACTAAATGCAAAGTGGGGGAAAAAGTGACCATTTAATAACCATTTAATCCTTTGAGATAATCTATGAAAGAAGAAGCTTCCAAGACTCAAGTGATTAGTGGAAATAATATATATTAATACTTTATCTTCATGTGTGAGAGTCACTCCTACAATAAAGAAAATGGCTTGACTTCTCTTCGTCCTTTATTTAACACATTTATTTTTACCATGAAATTATTTTGAGGAACGTTTATTATCCTATGATAGTGCTGGGTGAAAGGTTTTGGTATATCCCTGGGTGAGACACGGTTGGAACACTCACAGAATGCCAACATACTACTGCACTTCAAAAGAACTTAGGCCTAAGAGAACTGGATTCCTCAATAATGGTCTTCTTTTAAGAATCTTGCTTACTGGGATTCCCTATGAAAATGAGACAAACATACTTATTCATGATTATTACCTTATGGAACTTCAGTTAATAAATTCTGGGTTCAGAGTGCTGACCTTAAAAATAAGGGAGTACATATTTCCACAACTCGTGTGCACCCCAGCACCGGACAGATGGGTTCCACTGTGCAGCACCACTGATACTGGCTGGGGACTACTGCTCTCGCGAGCGTGGCAGTCTCGGAGGCTTGGACAGCCTAGTCACCTAAGCAGATTTGCTAATGGGAGCCACAGGTGTGGAAGAAATCCATGCCACACATTCACCATCTCTACACAATGGAATTTCTCTAATTATCAGATTTTTTTCCAGTTCCAGAAAGACACAAAAAGACTTCTCAAAGAGGAGAACAGAGGATAAGAACCAGAGTTCCTAGAGCACGTACCTGAAAAATTCCTCGTGGCCAGCATAGTTGTCAAGATGGCACCCTGTCGAAGAAATAAGAGTGCAAAATCAGAGTGGCCTCTGCAAAACTTTGACTTAACAAACACATAGTCTTTGATAAAAAAATCTTCTCCCAGCTTTCATTTTAGTTAGGAGAGTTCTGATTGTTTGTTTTTGTTTTTTGGTTTCCTGAGAGTCATAGGCCTGTGTCTCTCAGGTTGCCGGGACTGCCCTTGTGTCTTGGCCGGATTCAGATTATCAGATTGCACAACTGTTCCCCACTGAAGGGAGGAACCAGCACATACATTACCACACTGAGTTTAGCTTTTCCTAGTAGGTTTGATCCTGGCGTGTGTTCCATTTTCCCAAGACTCAGAAAAAGAATAGTGAGAGTATTGAGGTCTACACATTTAATGACCTTTGTAAAAGTAATATTTTCTTCAGGTAGCATTTCACTTCTTCCTCTGCTAATTCTACTTCCCCACAAAAATATAAAATTTCTTACCTTTAGTTTTCTTCTAGCATTGAATTTCTTCAAGCAGTCTACAGTCTCCTGTCTGTGCATCATGGAAGCAACAGTAGAGCGTTGCTGGAAGAAGAGGAGAAAAGGTGATTTAATTGGGGGCATTTAAAACATACTAAGAAAAACAGAATCCCTGACCTCATCAAATCTCTATTAATGATGCTGCACCATATAATCAACTTGTACGTATTCAATTGCCAAAGTTACCTGAAACTAAAGACTGATTTTTCCAAGACTAAGATACAAAATTTATGTACATAAAGTATGGAAATGAATAGTAATAATTTCCCAAATTATCTTCATTTCAATGTCTTTAGTCCCTTCTTTTCACTTACTTAGCACTGTGTTTCTTGCCTTAACATTTGACACTCATCCTGAGCAATTTACTAAGCTCTCTAGGTAACTTCCATTCCCCAAGTTTCCCATTACTGTTCTCAGTACTTCTAAAGTAAATCCAGACGATTACAGCTATTCTTTTATACAACTTAGACACTACTTTCAGCTTCCAAACCTCAAACTTATTTCTAAAGCTATCTATTGATAAATAATTGACTTTTTCTAATCTTTTCTTCCGGGACACATTTAACCTTGGCACTATTTTCCTAACCTCTCTGTTCATGAGTATTGTCAGTAACTGATATGGAGAATATCCATTCCTTGTGTTATCGTAGGCAGTACTTCTTTAATGATATATGCAAATCAGACTTTGCTACTTAAAATGCTATTTCTCACCATTACAAAATTCATTTCCTTAAATACTTAGGGCCCAAAATGTATTCATTCTGAGTTTCATCTTATTTGTCTAAAATTATTTTTAGTCTATGAAAAAAATATTAAAGGAGAGTTTACTTTTCATCTTAGCTCCTGAGCGTTTTGGAGAGTTGTTACTTACACAGATCCATGGGTGTTTCAGTGCCTCTGAGGCTGTGATACGTTTGGCAGGGTTGATAGTAAGCATTTTATTGATGAGGTCTTTGGCTTCAGGAGTCACTGTGTCCCATTCTGGTGATGGAAACTTTAAAAATATAAATTTATAAAGAGTTTAAAAAGAAGACACACCCCGTCAAACAGACAAGAGACAAATACATAAATCTGTCTCTTACATAGTGAATCTCTTCTTAAGTTTACTTTTTGTATGAGTTAAATTCTATCTATAATAGAAACATTGATCTAGATACAGTCCTCCCCCTGTAGATAACAACATACATTAAAAAGTATATGATAAGGTACCAGCATATATACTAACTTAAATAAGTGAAATAGCATTTAAAAAATTCAGAAAAAGAAGTTAAGACTGTTCTATTTCTCAGAATGTCTTTACTTCGATCTGAAAATGAAATTTTATATATTTATTTCTCAGAGTTATTTGCCAAACTCAATATAAGCTATGAGTTTGTTAAATGAAATATTCAGTTCAAAATGAGATATTATATACTTTCACAATTCATGAGCATTAACAGCAGAGATAGCAAAACAGCTTTAATTCCTGTGTTCAAATCGACCTATTAATCACAGCTTCTTGGAGTGCTGTAGTGAGAGGAATCTGAGACTATGAGACCTTGTGTAGGATTTCATTCGAACACTCACGAAGGTTAACCTACCTAATTACAAATGTCACCAAAGTATATGAAAGTAACTAAATCTCACAGCGTTAGTTATTGTTAATCCATTTTTCCATCCGTAACTATACGATGACGCTACTTATCCTAACTTTCCTAAGGTTGTTTATTTTTGCTGAAAAGATAATTGCTGTCTTCCTTTCACATAATTAGCGTATTTAGTAGAAATACGATTCTTCACTGGTTAAGAGAAATTTACATTACATTAGCTGCTAAATGACAGAATATCAGGTTCCTTTCCCAGTTCATGAATTTTTATAGACAATCCTGAAAAACAAAGCCATTATTACTGTGTCAGTTCACTTTTCCTAGTTAACAAAACGGGTACTTGGGTTCCATTAGCAAAACAAAACGCGAGAAAACTGCTATTGACATTTAACACCTGCAATTGTGGCCAGTTTAACAATCACAGTTACTTAAATCCAGAAGTTTCTCTTTCACAGTTGTAAAAACTTGCTAACTATTAACAACTGTTGGAGAAACACTCCAGGGGGCTTTGTAATGTCCTGCATATCTCCTGATGGCAAACCGGGGGCCGGTTTAGCCTAAAGAGAGGTGGAGCTTTTCCTGAGCTTTCTCATTTTTATAAAGACATTCCTCTACATTCACCCAGCAGTGCATTCGGGGTCACCTCCGCCCGGAGAGGGGCCTAGTTCCAGTCTGGAAAGATAGTGAATGTGCTAGCAGTGGCTATGCAAATAAAAATTCGGTCCAATTACCTAATTTGAGAAAAATGGGATGCTTCAAAATTCAAGGGCCATACATTTTAAAACAAAACAACCAAAACTAATACAGAGGAACGATGATCTATTTGATATATGGATCACTGCAAAGTATTATTGATATATAATTTAACATTATGTGATGGACATTTGAGAATGTAATTCAACTACAGAGGCAGCAGTCGTTTCTAAGTAGTGTGTTTATTACAGGTTTTGGAATGAACTAAGACCTTCCAACTGCGTTTATTTCAGTCTAGGACAGGGTGGGCTAAGAGGAAATACAAACTGAACACATATACTGCATTTTTTTCCTCTTCATCTCCCTTTCCCTAAGAGAGAGGGAAATAATAAGGAAAATTAGCGAAAATGACGGTTACATGAACCATGAAAACATCTGGCTCTTGGTCAACAGACAAAAACCAAACCCTCCTGTAAAGGTCTATAAATACTTGTTACATACGTCGTAGGCCCCGGCCTTGATCTGCTGATAGAGTCTGTGCTGGTCTTCGTCCCAGAAAGGCGGGTACCCCACCAGGAGGATATAGAGAATGACACCTGGGGAAGATTAGCGTATTAATATAATGTAAGTCACATGGACGATGATAATTAAACGTGGCTGATCCACCGTGATACGAAGGTGCCCTCAAAATAGAGGAAACTGAATTGAATTAAACTGAATTGTTGGAACATTTCAGAGAGGTGTGTTACATTCTATTCCAGAGCCTTGTGTGGAGGGTGAGTGCTCCTCTTCTTATGCTCCGAAACTCTGACCATGCGTCAGTTAACACATGGACCAAAGGATTCTAAAGAAGCAGAGCAGCTCAACACGCCAAGAGGAAATTCACCTGTCATTTGGGGAGACACATTCTTAGCCTTTCCTGAACCCCTGTCTAGAGATGTCCCCTCTACTCTCTCATCTATTTAAATGCTGTGATTTTAGCCACTGTGTAGGTTGAAGTTTAAAAATTGAACATGTTATTTATTTCCTCAGAGTCATTTTGCTGGTAATTAGGACACTTTGTTGAGCGATGGTGTCCTGGTTATAAATTCATGCTCTAAATAGCCCGAATCCCCGGGAATGTGGATACTGCATAAAGAGACAAAAGCCTTTTCTCTTCAGTGATGTTAGTCTTCAAAAAAAAAAAGAGTTTTTTTTCAATCAAACAACTAAACCAATGATACTACAGAGGAACATAGATTATAGGAAAGGGAAAGGGACGAGGAGAATGAAACGGCACAAGAAATTCAAAGCATTAAACAGGTAGCTGAGATACAATTTCACATCTTTTTTCATAAATTTGTAATTTTAAAAAATCATGAAGTAATAAACATTTGATTTAACTTTTAACATTTTTTTTAAAGTTCTGCGTTCTGTACTTGCAGGCTTTTAATTTTCCCTGAAATCCTGTCTGCAGTCTATGACAGTTTTGACACCAGGGTCCTCTTCATCATCAAATGTTCCTCCTGCTCCTTTTCAAATACTTTAGTGCCCTGCTGAAGGTTTCTGGTTCCTTCCCTAGCTCATTATCCCACAGGAAGGGGGTCATTCCTCTGACCTCTCCTGCTTGCTTTTCTCCTCTGTTTCCTCTGGTTAACCTGAGGGAGGAGAGGAAGGCAGGTGACACTGTGCCTGGCGTGCCTTGGAACTCCTTTTTTCAGAGATGGGCTCTTGGTTTCATTATCTTCTCTTTCTTGGGCCGATCTATCCCTGCTCCTGTCCATCAATCTGGACATCTCTACACGATACATATTGTTGCAGCTAAAATGATTTTTAAGCTATGGCTTAATGTCCTTAGATTTTGATAGCCTGGTTCAGGATAACACAGTTTAAAAGCAGGTTTTTTAAGTCATATAAATCAAAACATTTGAAACAAAATTCTTTTTTTTTTTTTTTTTTTTTTTGAGATAGAGCCTCAAGCTGCCCCCCCCAGGTAGAGTGCTGTGGCATTACAGCTCACAACAACCTCCAACTCCTGAGCTCAAGCGAGTCTCCTGCCTCCGCCTCCCAAATAGCGGGGACCACAGGTGCCCGCCACAACACCCGACTATTTTTTGGTGGCAGCCGTCATTGTTTGGCAGGCCCGTGCTGGATTTGAACCTGCCACCTTAGGTGTATGTGGCTGGCGCCTCAGCCACTTGAGCAACAGGTGCCGTGCCTGAAACAAAATTCTTAAAAACAAGACAAAGCAAAGCAAACAAACAAAAAGATGGCTGAGGCTTTTAAATCAAGACTGAAAGTTATTTTACCTTGTAAAATAATTGAAAAAAAGTTGAAAAAAATAGACTATGAAGGAAAATCACAATATATTGTTACCTCATCTTCACAACATAAAAATAATTTTCCCATCTTTCATTAAGTTATAGATTAACATGCCTTCATTTGAACTTATTTTCACATCATTTTACTATCTACTGCAACAGGCACATCTTATGATCATGATAATGGTAATGATGATGGTGAGTGAGTGTGTGTTCTCAGGACACAAGTGGAAAAAAAGCTGTATCATTTTAGCCATCAGCTGTGGATGGGCCAGTGGGTGAAGGAAAAAAATTTGCTTTCTAATGGTGATAGTCTCCACTGGATAGGAATATTTTCCTAACAAACACCTGGAGTTAGGCTGCTATAAATTTATTTAAAAAAGACTCTGGCACCACAAACTAATACAATCTTTTCAGAAGGAAGCATGGACAATCTTCAAAAACCTCAAATTAGACCTTCCATTTGATCCTGCAATCCCATTACTAGGCATCTATCCAGAAGATAGAAAAAATCCTTTTATCATAGGGACACTTGCACTAGACTGTTTATTGCAGCTCAATTTATAATCGCCAAAATGTGGAAACAGCCTAAATGCCCACCAACCCAGGAATGGATTAACAAACTGTGGTACATGTATACCATGGAATACTACTCAGCCATTTAAAAAGATAGAGACTTTATATCTCTTGTAATAACGGTGACAGAGTTGGAACACATTCTTCTTAGTCAAGTGTCACAAGAATGGAGAAGCAAGAATCCAATGTATTCAATTCTAATATGATGCCAGTAGACCATCTAATACTCACCCACATGAGAGAAAAACTTATATCAATTCAAGATGGGGGGTGGGGGAACTAGGGGGTGGGGAGAGGGAGGAGGGAGTGGGAGGGTTATGGTGATTGGCAGGTCTCTGGGGGCAGGACATAATTATACGAGGAACTTTACCTAACAAAAGCAAACAGTGTAACCTAATTCTCTGTACCCTCAATGAGCCTGAAACAATTAAAAAGAAAAAGGAAAGGAAATGAAGAGGAGAATAAATAATTGCTCTCTATTAAAAAAAAAAATGTCACAACTGAGACTCAGCCTTCTGAATCTAAGCTTTTCATTCTTGTGAATTAAGTCTGCAGCTGACTCCTGATGGGATGCTTCTTTGGGAAGGGGAAGCTCACAGGGGCTCATTCCCTAGAAAAAAGCCAATACATACAGAAAGACCCATAATTTAATTATGTGAGTGAGGAGTTTCTACTGAAAAATGTACTTCTATTAATAAAACAACGATAGCATAAATATAGGAGATTTCAAAAAAACCCACTCTTACAGGTCCAAAGTTTAAAAGAAAAAAACCCTACATAGGCCCTATTGAGTAGACTGGTATAAAACTTGCAATGCCTTTGTAAATAAACATTGTTTTCTAAGCCTCCTTTGATTTGCTCAGTAGACCAGAGTCTAGGGCCTTTCTGAGTTATGCTCTAGAGAGAAAAAATACTTTGTTTCTCAAAGCATAGAATTATGAGAGTTGGAGAGTAATAATAGCATAATATTTATAAATTTCATTGTATGTAACGTTTATTGGCAGTTACGAGGGCTTTCGTGCATTACCGTATTTATTCCTTGTATTCCTTTTATACAATGCTATGAGGTAGGTATTGATACTATCTCCATTTCACTGATGAAGAGACAAGGCTGAGAGGTTAAGGAACTTTTAGCCCCTAGCAGGACTGACATGGTGATGCCTTAAACATTCCTTTTTAAGCCACCTTTTCTTTAGCTATCAACCTTTAACAAAAATGCTTGTGAAAAATGTTAAAGTTCGCATTGCTTAACTGAGAGACCTTGACTCCCTAGCACAGGGGTCCATTTGCTCTCACGGCCTGCAGCCAGTTTTCCCTCCAGCTGGGTACTTTTAACAAGCCATTATTTTATAGTGTTTGTTGTTCTAACTGAGTTATTAATAAGGTTCAAATGTACCTTTTCCTTAAAAACACAATATATATTTTTTTCTAGGTCAGAGATAAAAAAAACAGCTGTTTTTCTCTCCCTAAAAACCAATGCAAAGTTGTATTTTTTGTGTGTATGTGCTATAGAATTGGTGATGTGACATCCAAATGGTGGGTGTCTCTGATGATGCTATTAGCAGTTTTTGATGATCATTGCCTAGATAATTCATTGGGGTTGCAAAATGTTACTCTCTATAGACTAAGAAAAGCTTACTCCATCTCCTATCTGAGGTTATCCTGAGATACCATTCATATAGGAAGGTTAGAATAATGATTTATTTATTTTTCCTTTTATTAACCAGTTTTCAAAATACAGTAATGCACTGGCTCCCCAGCATGTCCCCAAATTTAGGATTTCTGTTGAGCCTTATCATCATATAAACTCATGGGTTTCAACCTATTTGAGGTCAGAGAGAGTGACTCAGTGGATATCGGAGATTCAGAAGGGGAGAATGGGATGGAGGGGGCAAGATAAAATATTATCTCTTGGGCATAATGTGCACTATTCAGGTGATGGGTATATTGAAAGCTTAGACTTCTCTGCTATGCTGTTCAGCCATGTAACAAAAAACTGCTTGCACCCACTAAATCTATTTAAATTTAGATAAAAGCAAAGTCCCCCAAATGAATTTGATGTATTTCAATTAATTACTGTCAGTTTCCTAACTTATCCGCTTAATTGTCTTATCTTTGATCAGTGTAAGCCTCTTCAACATGGTGCCTGAGTCCTGTTACCACAACCCAGTGGTCTTTCATAGTTTCTTTTCTTTCTAATATGACAAGGTGCTCTGGGATCATCTTGTACTTCCTCTGATCCAGACATGGAATCAACTACTACTCCGAGAAGCTCTGGTTCCTTTCCGTATAGTCAAAAATAGTATCTAGAGACCAAACGTGAGCACTTCAATATGCTCTGTGGTTACTTCAGAAAAAGAAATTGAGAAATGAGGAGCGAGGAGATAGGTATGAGTGAAAACTACAAAACACTTAGGAGACCTAAGAGATCAAGTTAAATTATGACACCTGAGGGCAAATAGGAAAAATGCCGAGATATTGAAGATATTTAGCAATTATTGTTAAAATTTTATAGTTGGTATTATTGTCATGCTTTTTTAAAAGGAGACCTTTTCTTTCAGAGATACACAGTACAATATTTTTAGATGTGCTCATGTGATGTGTTGATATGATTGAGGAATGGGGAATGCTTGGGAAGGGGGGTACAGGAGGTAAGGTTAGCCATCAGTTCATCCCACTATTCTCTCCTTTCACATGGCTCACATTTGCTGCAACAAGGA